GCGGGGCTGGGCGGGAAGGGAGGTCGTGGCGGTGGCGGTGTCGGCAGCAGGGACAACAGCCACAGCGGCGGCCACGGGGACAGCAGCAGCGCCGGTGCTGTCAGTGAGGCCGTCGGAGAAATGGGAGACCCAGGGCCGGAGGTGAGTGGGGGAGGCCGCGCAGGGTTTTGTGTTTTGTGGGCGGAGGCCTGGTGCTCGGCCGCAGCCTCGGGGCGATGCCCTGGGCTTCTCGGCCGAGCCGGCGTTGGGACCTTGCAGGTCTGAGCAGGAGCCAGCAGCAACAATGGCCGCCTCGGCCCCCGAGCTCCTTGTTGTGGCTGCTCCGCCGACCGGCCTTGCTCCTCGGCAGGGAGCCTGCGTCCCTCGTCCTGGAGCCGCCGGGGGGATCCGGAGGGGCCCGTGGCTGGGTTTCGCCGGCTGGGCCCGCTCCCCCCCCCCCCCCCCCCCCCCCCAAGAAGGCAGAGGCACAACCCGACTCCGGGGGGCTCTGCCCTTCGTCGGGTTTGCGTGAAATCGTGCCCTTAAGTTTCTTTGGGAGCTCTTCCCTTTTCGTTCCTTTTGGGGAAAACCTCTTCCTGCAAGTACATGGCTGTGTAGATAAGCGTGTTCTGGCTTATTTTTGTAGATAATAGGATCTGTCCCTCCAGCGGGGCCTGGGGCATCTGAGTCCGCAGCGGATGAAAATGAAGATGACATTCAGTTTGTGAGTGTAAGTAGCCACATTTCGGGTTTTTCGGAGTCGAAGACTGCGTGGTAAGCGGTTATGGGACGACCCCTCACCTGTTCCTCCATCGCCCAGCCAATACGTGTGCATGTCCGACGGCCCCGGACAGTGTGGAGGTGGCAGCGGGGTAGGGAATTGAGCGACCTCCGTGGCCATCACAAAGGCGGCCGGCCCGAGGCCGCGCTGTGCGCTCCATCACTCCTCTCCTGCCTCCACGGAGGGCCATTTTCTACTCTGGCTCAGGCCGAGATCTGGTCCCTTAAGGCTGTGTGTCCAAATGGGTCAGGAGTAGCTGCTAAGCCTGCAGCGGTTCTCAACCTGTGGGTCGCGACCCCTTTGGCGGTCGAACGACCCTTTCACAGGGGTCGCCTAAGACCATCCTGCATATCAGATATTTACATGACGACTCATAACAGTAGCAACACGACAGTGATGAAGTAGCAACAAAAACAATGTTACGGTTGGGTCACAACATGAGGAACTGTGTTTAAAGGGCCAGAAGGTTGAGAACCACTCTAAGGGGAGCCACCCAGGTGAGGGAGAAGGGACAGCTGAGGAGGAGGAAAGGTGTAGAGGAGGAGGAGGAGGAGGGTTGTAAGAACTCAAAACCTGAGCTTCCTCAGGTGGAGGCAGCTGGCTTGAAGGTGTCACAGATCTCTGAGGTCACCATGTTACAGCACAGTAGTGCAGTTGATGTGCATAATGAAGATACCTGCATCACCAGGAACTCACTGTGTTTTCTGATTTTATTCCCGTTGAGACCGTTTCCAAGCATTTGTAATAAGTGTATACATTCCTGGGCCTCACTCTGGACCTACTGAGTCAGAATTTGAAGGTGGGGGTCTAGGAATCTTCATTTTGGAGAAAAAAAAATGCAAGGATAGACAGATCTCTGGACCACACTTTTTAAAGCGGTGGTTTGGGGAGGAAGTGGATCTGATGTATTTTGGGGATGATTTTCACCGAAAACAAAGTCTGACAAGGGCCCTGCTTGGAGAATACTCTAAAGTACCCTTTGAATCCTGGAGTTGAGGTGTATTATTAAAGGTGTATAATTTTTCTTTAACAGAGTATTTGTGTTTGTTTTGGGGCAACTTCGTAAAACTGGTTATTAAACAATATTCGATAGTATCACAACATTAGGGCCATGTAATGATCTATTGTACTGTGTGTTAATGGGTTTGTGTAGGAGTCTTTCACAAGAGCATTTGTGGCTTTTTGTCCAGTGCTAGCGTATATGGTCCTCTTTTTTATTTTAAACTTTTAAAGTTTTGGGTTGTGGGAGGTTAGAAGAATTGTATCCTGCCCCCAGTCTCTGTGGACTGAAGTATGCCTAGAAACAGAATTCCCTGGCTTTTTAGGACAAATATTTCAGGTTCTTCCTGAGTATTGGTATATTTGTGAATGGAGAGTACTTATTTTGATATTTTGTGCAAATATAAGTAAGAATGACAACAATTCTTTATGAACTACAGGCTTATTTTGAAAGTCACTGATGGAATCTATTAAAATAAGATTTCAAAAATATTTTTTGTGGTGCTCTGGGATGAAGAATTGTAGCTTGTGACTAATATAAGCTTGTATTAAGTTGAAGTCTAACTCTAAGTTTTATTTTAAATGTAGAGTATCTGTTATATCTTTCATCAGAATAAAAAATATACAATCAGTTTTGTGTATCCAGCTTGACACAACTTGCATTTATTCTTGTTTTCAACTATAGGTTCAAAGGCATGATAGTTCTAAATGGACAAATGAATTATATGTACCATGTACAATTATAATATGAGAAGAAGCCTATTCAACATTCCCTCTGCCTTTGTAATGATAACACTAAATGACAATGATACCTTAATTCTATTTTAAAATGTATTTAGAGACAGACTCTCCTACTTCTTTCTGTGACCCAATCTTATCCTCTAGGTAATGCTTATCCAATTAAATAATAAACAGTTCCCTGGTTAACTTAAGATTAATTCAGATACAGAAAAGAGCATTATGATGTCATTTCTTGATTTATTATGGTTTGGATTTCTTAGTTTGCTGTTAATTTAATTTTTTAATCTTTGATCCATATGATGGCACATCATTCTTTCTGTGGTTTGCAGAAATAGAATCTGAAACTACACAGCATGCTGAAGGAAAGGAAAAATATGGATGTAGAGGTCCAAAATGACCCCTTTCATTTATATTTTAGTGAAATTAACATTGAACTCAATTCGTAAGTGTACTGTTTGACTTTTGCAAAGCCAGTACACCTGTGTAAACAGTGCTCAAATCAAGAAACAGAATATTACCCTAACAAAAACTTTCCATTTAGGACTTTTTCTCTCATTTTCTGTTTAATTTAGTAACATGACTTTTTTTTCAGCCATCTTTATGTCTTTCTTTGAAACTGGATATTTTAATTTACTCACAGAAAATTGTTTAGCCTAGAAGCCCATGACATGCTTTTTCACAGAGCTACTGTAGATACAAAGGTATAAAAACTGCTGAGGCAACCTATCATAAATTTGAGAACAGCACATGAGCCGGTTTTGCTCCATGGTTAGAGCATCAGCTCTGGCTCTGAATGGTCACAGGTTTGATTTTCGGTCAAGGACACCTGCCTCCATTGCTGGTTTGATCCCCAGTCCCAGTTGAGGCATGTTGTGCGGGAGGCAACCAGTCAACTTCAATGTTTCTCCCTCCCTCCCTCTCTTCCTCCCTTTTCTGTTTCCCTCACTTCCCCCTCCATCCTTTCCACTCTCTAGAAATCAATGGAAAAAATATCCTCAGGTGAGGATTTAAGAAAAAAAAAAAAGAACTGCACATGAGATTTATGTTTCAGCTGAGATTATTGGCTTAATGTGGAATCGTTGAACCTGTGGAAATAGTGAAAGAAATTGTATAATTTCATAAATAACTTGAGCACATAGTTCAAGTGATATTTCACCAGCAGAATGGGTCATAGGCAATAAAAATAAAAAAATAGTATATCTTTTGTCTGGGTGTCTGAAGGGTGATAATTAGCTTAATAAAAATAATGTTGGAGCTCATAATATGTGGAGTCATGAATTAAGTACTTTGGAGCTACACATACTAATTGGAAATGCATTTCACCCAAAAATGTCAGTATTTTAGTGTGGGACATGAAATAGGAGATGAGAACTATGTAAATAATTCTAGTAGAAATTTCTTTTATAAAAAACAAATGGTGCTGTCACCAAAAAAAAAGTCCTTCAGTTTACTACTTTGCCATATGTAGCATTTAGTATTTGTACGTGTTTAAAGGTTATTTTTAGAAGAAATAAGGAAAGGCATCAAAATTGGAAAAGCAGTTTTTTGTGTAGTTGTGGAAGATAAGATTTTCTTTTTTTGCAAGTGGGAGAGGAAAGGATGGGCTAGAATCTAGATAGTATAGATCTTGAATTGTGGACTACATTTGAACTTAAAGTAGGCAATTGGGAACCATTTGAAATTTTTGAACTCGGCATGACTGAAGAAGTAAACTATGCCCCTAACTTATTTATATGGAAAAAAAAAACAAATGAATTATTTAGAATTTTAGATTAGATTTTTGCATCTGTGGTTAAATCCATATTTGTTTTAGACTGAGGTAAGCTTTTTTTGTGTGTATATCTTTGTCTCTTGACAACACTTTCCAGTTAGTCGGCAATTGGTGTTTTGGATTTGTATGAGAATTTTCTAATAACAGAAATTAAACCTTTATTTAAAACAAATTTGTTTTTAAACTTAGATTATTAATTCAACTGTGTTCCTAATCTGTTTTGCTTGTGCCTGTGCTTCTGCTCCTAAATTGTGTGGCCTTGGAAGTAGAATCCTTTGATTTGGTGTTGGTACAGAGGAGATAAGAATGACTGATTAGCCCTAACTGGTTTGGCTCAGTGAATAGAGCGTCGGCCTGCGGGCTGAAGGGTCCCAGGTTCAATTCCGGTCAAGGGCACGTACCTTGGTTGAGGGCACATCCCCAGTAGGAGGTGTGCAGGAGGCAGCTGATCAATGTTTCCCTTTCATCGATGTTTCTAACTCTCTATCTCTCTCCCTTCCTCTCTGTAAAAAATCAATTAAAAAAAAAAAAGAATGACGGTTTACTAGTTGATGTATGGAGCATATTCAAATAAAAATACCTTGTAAATGGAGGACCACATGCATATATACTTGTTAGGGATATAAGCAGTCATTATAAATATTAGAAATTATTTTCTCTTTCGTCTTTGTGCTGTAAACATTACTTCTTTGGGGGAGTTAATTTATTTATTGGTCAGTGTTATGAGTTGGGGATATTTATTGGGGATAGTAGCAGGTACTCATTTTTCTCTTATTGAAAAGTATCTTATCTCAGAAACTTAGATAATAAGCATAGATTTAAAAATATTATGTATTGCCCTAGCCAGTTTTGCTCAGTGGATAGAGGGTCAGCCTGCGAACTGAAGGGTTTCAGGTTCGATTCTGGTCAAGGGCACATGGCCTGGGTTGTGGGGGGTTGTGCAGGAGACAGCCGATAAATGATTCTCTCTCATCATTGATATTTCTTTCTCTCCCTCTCCCTTCCTCTCTGAAGTCAATAAAAATATATATTAAAAAATAAAATAAAAAACACCACTATTAAAAAAAATTATATATATTTTGAACTACTTTAGAGTTGCATTGGGCACACAGCCAATTATGTGTTTAGAGAACCAGGTATGTATCTCACTTAGTTTTCTTGTTAAATGGGATAATAGTAATTCAGTATCTCACCTTGTCAAGTAATTTTGAGGACTAAATAAAATCATGTGCATGGAAAGTTTAGTACAATCCCTTTATAGGGCAGGATGACAAATGTTATTGATTAGTAGGAAAATAAATGGAGTACTAAAATGTTTTGATTACCTCATTATGGTGGAAGTTTTTCTATATCCACTGTGGAAATTAGAGTATTTGTTTATAAAGTAATCTTTTCCTTGGGGGTACTTACCTTTTCTTATTTTTCCACTCAGCCTCTTTGTCTTTTTGGATTACTTTTCTACCATTCTATCACTTACAACTCCATAATTATGTGTTGAGTAATGAATAGGTATCCTAAATGACTCCTGCTTTTTCTCACGTCTGGATTCCCTATCCTGATTTCTTTTTATTCTTTTTAGTTAGTGTGAATTATATGAAGTTGCCATTGCTTAGTTGTGCATATCAATCCAATGGTTCCTCCAGTAGTAAATTTCTGGTAGTTCTCTTGTCTGTTTTCATTTCTGCCTCTTCTACTATTTCTTGACTTACCTTTTAATCCTATTTGTGACCATTTTCGTTATCCTGTTTTTTCTGCCCAGTCTACTTTTTGCTTTGTGCATGTTACTTTCTTTCATCTCCCTTATTTTTTTACCTACTATCTGTTCGTGGAAATTCTGGCCCTACCTCTGTTTTTCTGGTAACCTGAGGATTTTCTTGGCATGCTATTTCTGTGGGCATGTAATAAAAATTATTTAATACAAATTTCTTGAATAGTGCAAACTCAGATAATTATATGAACAGTTGAAGTTATTTTTACTCTATTTCCTTCTTGGATTAATTATATGATCTTGATGATCTTTATACCAGTGGTAGGTTTTAGTCTTAAAATAGGTGATGTACCTCTGCTGACAATACATTGGAGAATATCTGTCCCTCTTTTCCTCCTTTTTAAACTTCCAATTTTATTGCTTAGCAAAAATGCCAATTACTTTGTTACATGATTCCTGCCGAAAAGTTTTGCTCTGGATCACTACCTGCAAGGATAGTAATTTTCTGCTTGCAGAGAAGTTGTAGCCCAGGGGGAGAAAGAAACAAGCTATCTTTTAGACTGGATGCTTCTTTCAGGAAGGGGATCTTTAACTAGATCTTAGCTTCTGTCTCCAGATCTAGAATCTTTTTCTGTTAGTTTTTCCATCGAATTAATCACTTTGGCTTGCCAACAGTCAACTTTCTCTATCCTAAGAAGTCTTTCTTCAGCCATATTCTCCTCCTCCTATGTTCCTTCCTCTTGTTCTCACCGTACTAGATTTTTTTTAAAATTTAAATTCTTCATTGTTTAAAGTATTACATAAGTCTCCCTTTTCCCCATTGACCACGCCCCGACCCGCCTCCAGCCCCCAGCACATGCCCTCCCCGCCCTACTGTCTGTGTCTATTGGCTATGGTCATATGCATGCATACAAATCCTTTGGGCCCGATTTTTTTTTAAGAATACTCTCTACTCATGTCCTTTACCGCCTTATTTTCTATTTAATTTTTAGAGAATGGCTTCTGTGCTCACTACTTTCTTGACGGTTGCTCTCTCAAAATCTTGTTGCCGAATTCAGTGACACTTTTTTTTTTTTTTTTGGTGTTTTGGGTCATATTTAGCATCGATAACTTTTCATCGAGGTTCACTTTATCTTTAGCTTCTTCGGATTTATGCATTCCTGATTCTTTTCCAATCTCTGATTACCCACATAGCTCTTCTTCCTAAATCCTAAAATTCTAGCATTTCCTCAAGAGCCTCCTTGAATTCTTCTTTGTCCTCTTTGCTTTTTTCTTTGGCTACTCATAGTTTCAATTTAAAGCTACAGTTAATAGGCTTTTAAGGGAGCCACTCCCCAATCTCTATTCTCAGTTACTTCATATATCCAGATTACAGGCCTGCATTTCCAGCTCTGCCAAATACCTCTTTGTGCCATTGGCACATCACATCATTACGTGCAAAAGAATATCAGCATTGTGTTTCTGTATTCCAAATTTATATTAATGGCATTAGTATCCTTCTAGTTACCCAAGCTTGAAACCTCAGGGGATCACTTTTTTACTTCTAGTTGTTGTTGGGATTTTGTTTGCCAATCTTCGCGCTTTCCCCTCCCCCACCTCTCTATTATACCCATATATTCTCTTCTATATGCACCACCACACAATTCTTGCTGTCACCACTACTTTAGTTCTGCATTTTTATGTGTCTGGACTGGTTAATTCTGCCTTTTCCACTCTTCATACTTCTTTATGTGATTTATCTTAAAGCACAAGTCTCATATGTTACTCCCATGTTAGTTTTTATTCTCTTTAGCCTAAAATCAAGACTTTTAGAATAAAATCAAGGCTTTTAAGCCTAGCATTCAAGGCCTGGTTCATGATAAGAGTCAGTATGGATGGAAAGAAAGGATGGAGAAGAATTAGGTTTAATATTTCTCTATAGAAGTGGGAGATAAAGCTGAGCTCTTGGTCAAAGAACTCCATGGTTTTGAGCTTAGATATCTAACAAACCATTGATACCCATCACATTTGAAAAGTACTGGCTCATAATATCTGTGTCCTTATAGCCTGTTTCTGTATTAATTGACATAGTCCCAGTACTCTTATTGGGGTTTAGGGTCCTCCTCCTAGGCCTTGCCATCATTTCTTTCTTTCTTTTTTTTCTCGTCATCATTTCTTACTCATGTACATACTCTGAGTATTTTTCTCTGCATTTTGATTAATTTCTGCCAGCCATAAGGAATTAAGAGGAATTTTTGCCAATCCCAACAAACATTGTTTAAAATACTAGTTTAGTTTGAATAACTCTTCATGATTTGTTAATTTGCTCAATTCTTTCCTAGGAAGGACCATTAAGACCTGTTCTTGAATATATTGATCTGGTCAGCAGTGATGATGAAGAACCTAGCACCTCTCATAGTGATGTAAGTACATTATATTTGATTTGTATTTCTTTACTTCTGTCATTTAATAGGCATTCTCTAAAGAGAGTTATCAGATCAATGACGGTTGTGTTTATTGCTTTAGAGCAGTGATGGCGAACCTATGACACACGTGTCAGAAGTGACACGCAAACTCATTTTTTTGGTTGATTTTTCTTTGTTAAATGGCATTTAAATATATAAAATAAATATCAAAAATATAAATATTTGTTTTACTATGGTTGCAAATATCAAAAAATTTTCTATATGTGACACGGCACCAGAGTTAAGTTAGGGTTTTTCAAAATGCTGACACGCCGAGCTCAAAAGGTTCGCCATCACTGCTTTAGAGGATGGCCCATTTCTGTTAGGATGGGCCATATAGGTAGTCCAAGGAGTTATTTGCCCAGAATATCTCCTACTTTTAGTTTTGTTTCTTCACTTTCAGTGAGGGTGTGAAAGGATGACATGACGCAGGAAAGTTCTAAGCCTTGGTGATGATATCTGATAAAAGGGAAATGGAATAAAAACTGCAAGCTTTTTGTCTCCTTGTGTCCTTTTCCTTTCCTATTTCTCTTCAGATGCCCTATAGAACTGGATCCTTTTCATCCAGAACCATGTAGACACAGAAAATTTGTTTTATCTTGGAAGAAAGAATATGTGAAGATCCTTTAGAAAATGGCATGTAGGAAGGGTTATAGGCGATATATTACTTTAGACATCATATCTTTTAACCTCTTCTATCCCCCATATTTGGAGTTTTCTCTCTTACGTGTGATTTTTTTTTTGGTTGTGGGTTTAACCCTTTAATACTTTCTTTACTTTGAGAACTGAAGCAGCTGAGCCCTTTGTAACACTCTTGTCCTACATTTGTTGTAGCCCAAATTGCTACTAATGGGCTATTTTCTTGGTGGATTACAGAACTCCTTGGTCTTGTTCAAGGTGGCCAGAAGCTTCTGCTCTGTAATAAAAGAGGATTGAGACTTGGACTTGGAATGAAAATACCTAGGTTTTAGTCTCAGCTTTACTCCTTATTAATTCTATGATTTTGGATAAATTAAGTAGCTTTTTAACCTTAGTTTCTTTATCAAATAAAAATAGTACCTACCTCACAGGGTTGTTGTGAGGATGAAATGAGATAACAAAAATATATTTGAGCTCTTTGAAAACTACAAACCATAAAGTAGGACTATGCAACTGGAAAGTTTTGTTATTCGTGGAGAGTGAATGGGAGAATTTTTAAAGGGGCTTAAAAATGATTCTACAATGGAGGACTTTTTTAAAAAAAATTTTTTTCCCCCTCAGTGGGACTTATCCCGAGTGTTTTCTGCAGTTATTAGGTCCTTTTCTTGACTTAAATATATTGTATAGGATTTTTTTTTTTAATTGTTATCACCAATGATCTAACCACCTCTTATCCTTGTATGGGACCAAGCAGCAGGCTAGGATGGCACCACTTGAACTGGGCTTGTTTATATTCTCTTTTTTCAGGGACAGAGTCCCAGATTAATGCCAGTAGTCGGTATTGGGTCTTTGGGAAAGTGAAGCTTGTGGAATTGATTCTTGTGATCCCTTGCTGACCAATAGTGGATTGCATCATTCATTATTTTAATTATAGTAATTTTTAAAAATTGAATTCTACTTACTGGACATGCATCTCTGCACTTGAAAGTTAACATATTAAAAGCATTTTTTTTTCTTCCTTGGTTTTCTTGTTCATGTGGATAACCCAGAGAATGCCTGAGTCTAAGGTGCCATCCTCTGAGAATCATCGCCCAGAAATGTGCTCTAGCTGCAATGTTCCTCTTCCCATTGGAGACAGCAGCTCCTCTGGGAGTTGTACCAGCAGTCCACAGAGGATAGTTTCTCAACCTTCTTCTGTTGAGAACCCATTGGAGAATCAAAAAAATGATCAAAATAATTCAGATTTTAAGATCTCTGAGACAGATACACTTAAACCATCACAAAATTATCAGAATCTGCCTTCATCTCCACTTCTGGTCCCCCAAGAATCTTTGGCCTCTTCACAGGTCAAGGAGGATTTACTGCCAGAGTCTTCAGCTTCACAGCATGGACAGGATGCCATCCTCTATCTCCAGACACAAGTGGCTGAGATGTCCCGAGTGATACGTGATCTACAGTCCAGGAGTTGTTTCAGATTTCACCATTCTAGGCCAAGTGAGAACTCCTCAGTTCCTTGGGACATCACCTCCAAGGAAGAGAATTTATCCACAGTTGAAGAAGAAGCAGACTGCAAATCCCCCTCAGCTGATGACAAAGGACAGCCAGCTGATCCCAGTCAGACCAGTTTCACAGGTCTTTTGAAGAGAATGGAACAGAGAGGTGTTATAAAGAGAGTAACATTACAATCTGAAGCAGAGTCATGTGACGGGAAACCTGATTATGTGACTTCTAAAAAACGTCTGGTTCCTCCGCTGCATCCTCTTCTGAGAATTGCCACCACTGAGGTTTTTAAAGACCCTGCTGATTGCCATCCTTCTTCTTTCATGGGACACAGGGTATATCCTGTGGCCAAGGATACCTCTCCTTTTCAACCAAATCCTCCAGCTGAGGGTCCCATTGTAGAAGCATTAGAGCATAGCAAAAGAGGAAGCACAACATCTCTTCTAGATTCTACCTCAAAGGAAATGGAGGTCATGGGTTGTAGATTTTACCATGCTGCTTCCATTGCAGCCCGAGCTGCTAGCTACATGGCCTATATGACTCAATATCAGCGTAAACTCTGGGAAGACATGGAGGATCTGGTCCATGACCCAGAGTTTGATCGTGGAAAAGCAAGATGTATAATATCTGATGGTATGGATGCAGGCCTTTGGCAGCTTTGTACTACTAGGGACATAATGGACTCTGTAGTCAGAGTTATGGCAATGGCAGTAGACTACAGAAGGCAAGCCTGGCTCCGACTTACATCTCTCACTAAGAAAACCCAGGAGAAGATCTCACATTTGCCCTTTGATGGCACTTCCCTCTTTGGACAAGATGTGAATGCTGTTGTTGCAGAAGAAAACAGTATAAAAGAAAATGACTATAAAGACCACAACAAATATTATAACCAACATCGATACTTTTATAGTCATGATCAGAAAGCACATTATCACAATAGAGGGTACTCCAAAGGAGATTGGTACAAATCCCGAAACCACCCCTATAGATATAGAAAAAAGGGGGAATCTCCAGAACGCCATGGGTACAAGAATTAATAGCCTGTTTGTTTAGCAGTATAGCCATCCAGTATCCTAAGTATTTTACTTGCTCTTCCTGACTTAAACAGATCTACATGTAGGTGGTCACCTCAAAAACTGAATGCATGTATGGAATTGCTTCAGCTTACATTTAAATTCTAGACTCTTGGAATGAAGTATATAATAAAATCATGCTTATCGACCAAGTGAGCAGTGGAGACTTTTCATCTAAGTAGGGTTGGACAGAGATTTACCCATTATTTCTGATTCAAAGTAAGTACAGAGTAAGGTACTCAGGAATCAGAATCCTCTTGTGATCAAAGAAAAACATAAAGATTTGTTCCTCAGGAAAATCTTGCTGGTAAATATATGGCCTGGAAATAACCCACTAACCAGATCTCTGTTTAACACAGAGACAAATCCTTCATTTTTAGGTTATCAGTGCTTCCTTGTTCAGGCTTTGCTTGTCAGATCTTCACAAAATGACAGATCTCTATATCAGGATGAACTCACTGAGTGCATACAACTCAAGCTCTGTGAGACTTCGAAATCAACCATGAAGCTGTATATCAAGAACTGGAATTCAAGTCAAATTTTGCCAAATCTAGTTTGCTTCCAGTGGGATGACTAGATGTTACAGGTCTATAGCGGGCACCAGCTGGAAAAAGACTTTTCTACCCATAATGTCTTTAGAAATTTCAGTTAACTATCTTCATCAAGACTGGTTGCTATCATACCATTACCACTCCAAGTTACATTATGAGAGAATTCTTAGTTGTTGTCACTTACAAGCCTCTGACATATCAAACTCGTATCAATCACCAAGCTGTGAGACCCAGTAATGGTGTTCTCTCAGGATAATCTGGACCTTTCAACAGGATGACCTTCTTAAACCCACCTTCTAAACAGTTAAGATTTTTGAGCTTGATAATTCATTACACTTTAAATACAAAACAAGATATGTATATTAGTGACCTGGAAATAAAGGATGTTACACCATCTAGGCATGCAAATCTGAACTCTAAAAAGAGCAAGAATTCCAAACATGCCTGACAATCCAGTTCTCTTACTGTCATAAAGAGGAATGCCATCAATTGATGCTATTGAGAAACCCATAAGTTTTAGACTATAAATGTGATGTAGTAAAGAGAACATCTCACACAGTTCGGTTTCTGGATATCTATTTAAATGATATATCCTTTAATAATTTCTTAAAAGTCTGAAATCAAGACTTCAGTGACATGTTCTTTGTTTATTGTTCCCTTAACCTAGTCAGACTTTTACCGTGAGAGACGACCTTGGTTTAATTAATAGTTCTCCACTATCCTGGAACTAGCAGCAGATACCTCAAATACATGTCTCACAGTATCTTTTCAATCTCAAGGGAGTGGCTGTACTGTATACCAGGCCTTAGATCCTTGTCTTCGCAGCATGACTTCAGAAATGGAGAAAATTGTCAAGTTTGAGGGGTCTGAATACATGACCCAGTATTACTTGCTTGGCAGCCAAAATAGTTTTTTTTAATTGACAGACTTATAACTTTGTAACTTGTTTGTCAAACATCAACATCTTTTTATCTGCTTGATCGAAATATTTTGGGTCTACTGTTAGTGGAATATAACACTGTTTTAGGATTCATGTGGTTTCAATTTCTTGCCATAGTTCTTGCATAATGGTAATTGACGGTTTTCCTGGAGCCCCACTTTTTAATAGCTTATTGGAATCTTATTCTTTCTCTCCATCACAACCATATTCAGCACTATATTTGTGCTATAGAGGTTGAAGAGGCAAAAAATCCCAACTTGAAAGAAGTTATTTACTTAGATACTTTAAGGGTATTGTATTAGTCCTATTTGTAGATTAAGTCTAAACTACAGCCTTGAGAGCATCATCTTGCAAGTTTGGTCATATCTATGGTTAATATTTACCTTTATATTTCTGAATTTCCACAAAGTTTTGCTTCTACTACTTTAGATCCATGCCAATGCTATAGGAACTGTCTTTCAAATTGAACTTTAGAAGAGCATTAATTAACTGCCTATAAAGAGTCAGGCCTTAGAAATCATACAAAGATTTTAATACATGATATGTACTACACCAGTAAAGTAGCCTTATGATCCATCAACATGAGACTACAGTTTGTTCTGTGAAAGGACTAGGCACTGGAGAGAGAGAGAGACCTTGGAACTGTTCTGTATGGCTGCACATAGGTGTTCCAAATTAGCTAAGGCTACTTCAGAGTGCTCCCACTTTTCCTTTCCTTCCTTGAATTAAATACTGGGCCACAAACTCAAAGGTTTTTGAGGTACTCTTATTTTCCAGAAACCAAGCCAAACTAAATGATGCTTTAAGTATGATTTTTTGAAATTGCTTTGGCACTTCTGCTTAATATGCTCCTCCTTTGTAATTTTTTATTGTGGTTTAAAGAAGACAACCTAAAATTTACCACATGAACCATTCTTAAGTGTATAGTTCAGTAGTAGTGTTAGCTATACGTACATTGTTGTGTGTAGCTCCTCCTTTCTTAAATATTTCTAAAACAGCATTGCTATTCTCTTTCTATGTTATGTTGCTCAGTAATAAAGCTGAAAACTTTGCTTTATCACTCTCTAATTGCTATGTCCAAGCCTCTCCAGGGGTAAAAAGGTATTTAGAAATTATTGAATTTCGATAATCAAGTAGGTAACTTCTGAAGGGATTTGACAATTGAGTGGGGATAGGGACAAAATGCTGTAGAGTTGGGACAGTTTGTAGTTATAAATTAGTTTCTTGACTACAGAAGAAACATCCTTAACCTGTTTGATTTTTGTTATTTTAAAGTCTTTCTCTGCATACTTGAATGATGATGGTGTTATGAAACTAAAAATGAGGACTTGGTCTAGGGAGACAACCCCAGTAGCGTGTGGAACTCATAATTAGATAAGTTTTCATATTGTGCCTGTGATGTGCAGAGCCTGTGACAAAATTCTCCATTAGGCTAACCTCTTACGTTTAAATACTTTAGGTTTTCTAGGAGGCCTTGGAATAATTGTAAGTTAATAATTTGGTATTCTCAAAAGGGATGCATCTAATGATCCTTTTTCTTCAAAATGTTACTTCTTGACTAGACATAAAATATATGTGGACACAATATGATTTCTTGTAGCTACTGTGTATGGAGAAATACTGTTTCCATTAATTGTTATATGAAGTGCCTTTTTAAATTTCACACTTGTTTAAAAGTTAACATTTTGATGTCTTGCATATGTTGCTGGTGATAAGTGAATTTTGTACAGTGATTTTTAATCTTGTAGTTTATTCATTTGTACAATTAATTGCACTATCTATATGTACTCTCCTTCTGAATGTTTTTTTATAGCACTGTTTATCCATTTCAGAAGGTTGTAGAGTATGTCCCTCCTTTATTTAAATAACTTCACAATAGTACTTTTTAGTTAATAGTGATTGGCTCAGTTTTTTGGGCATTAAGGCAGCTTTGTTTTCTATCTGTAGATTGTAGGCTTTCTGATTGAGTCATTTGTCTCCTATCTAGCCATGGTTACACAACTTATATTTGACATTAGGAAAAAGTAGTAAATTTGCCGACACTTTATCTTTCTATTTTTTTTTTAAGACTGTGTGACAGCTTCCTTATCACTGTAATTGCAATTTAAACTTTTTAAAATTGTGTGGCAGCTTCTTTATCAGTATAATTTTATTATTTACTTAGTTCTCAAAATTGCATTTGAAGGGAGCATGAACTCTTTCAGGCTACTTGGATACTATTTAGTATATCACATTAGTACTGTACTGAGTGATCTGATTAGTAATATCCTTGAGGTCCCAATACATACAGGATAAATTCTCAATTACCAAATATAAGGAGGTTGGAATAGGCACAGTCCAGAATCCCTTCTAGTTATAAAATTGGATACAGAGTTGAATGACATGGATGAACAGCATTAAATGCTACATTCAGTATTCTTGAGGATGTAATTAATTGATAGGGATTCTAATGAAGGGTTGAAATTATGGATTAGATCTTTGTAGAAAGAGTTTTAAAGATTGCAATAATTGAAAACTTTTTTTAAAAAAATGTGAGGCATATTTTGCCCGTGACTTGCACTATTTAGGTTCCCTCATCTTTTGAAATTTATAATTTTTTACCTAATGTTTACCACAAGTCCAATGGTCATATCTGTATGCATCAGCCAGATCCATTCTATATAGTTTTTCATTAGTGGATACACTTAACAAAAATATACAGGCGGAAGTTATCAGTAAACTGATGATCACTGCATTGAATGCAAATAGTTAATTTTTTCAGATAAAACAAGTTTTGTAAGCCATTAAAATACCCTTAATGAAATTTTTCTTCCTGGGTGAATGATGAGAATATTGTTTTATTACATCTTTTTTCTCTTATTGATTAGTGGGATGATATTTTTGTACTGCTTTGTCTTTTCATTTGCTTGATTTTATATAATGAAAACTTTTTTATAGTATTGTTTGGTACCATTGAAGTATCTTATTACTGGAAATTATGTTTGCTTACAGTTGGCTATAACTGGAAGTAATCAGAGTCCAACCATGACCTTTTGATGGTAGCATATCAGTTCATTCTTTGTATTCATCTTTTCTTCTTTATGTAACACCTCTTTCTACAATGGTGTCTGATCTTCCCTTAATCTCTTTTATGTAGATTATATTTTTCATTCCGGCCGTATAACTAGCCAGGATTTTGATGTGGCTTTATGTTTGTATATTTAAATTCAATGCCTTCGGCATTATTGTAAGAGATTTTCTAGTTTTCTCTTATAATGTCTTTAAAAAAAAAAACAGTAGCGAGTCCAGTCTCTTAAACTATTCCCCATCTATTGAACCTTCATTAGTTTTTAATGCTTTCTTGTTTAATGGTAGTATTATTTTCTCATTTCTATATATTCTTCACACAAATGTATTATTACATATAGTTTGTGGTCAATTGCATCTTTTCTCTGTATAAAGATTTTAGGGCCTTCACCATGAATTTATAGTACAGTTCTGAGATGTGTACTGTATCTTAAAGTTAGCCAGTTTTCTCTAGGTCTTAAGGGCTTTACTGGTTTTGTTGAGGTAACTGTCCATTTCAAATGGTCTCTTAGACTTTCTGATGCCTTGTTAAGAATTCAACAAGAGTTCTCAGGTTGTCTGTACTTTTAGGACTTTGGAGCTCTCTCAAGTTGTATTGAGTTTTCATATATTCCTGAATATATTCCTTGGTAGAGGTGAAGTAAATGCTTTATATCTGGTAATAATTTTAAAATTTTTCCTCTGACCTTAAGTATTTCAAGGGTTATTATATGAGTTTTGTTAGTTGTCCCTTTATAAGACTAACTTTGAGATGCTATTTTTCCCCCAGGAGCTATCATATGCTTTCTGTTTTGTTTCCCCCGCCCCCCGGCCCATAAGAGTGGTTCTATCACAGCATTCAATTTTAAGGGCTACAATTAGACCTCTTGTTAACTCCCATTTTTATTTATGATGACTATGTTTCACAATACTTTCATTTATAATGTAGTAATGTGTTAAAATAACTAGTTGGTTTGTGGTCAACTTTATCTGTACTTATTTTAATTAGTGAAATAACAATGATGTAAACGATGGGGGCAAAACATTTTTTGTCACCAGTTTTAAATTTCCAGTTCTATTTTTTAAACATTTATTTACATTAAGCTTCCTGCTGTTAGGTGTGCAGCCCATTCCTTTCTGTCTTGGGTAGAATATAGTTAATTTGTAATTAGTCTCATTTAGAATCTGAGCACAGAGTTGCATGCATGTTGGTCTTTGTTTAATAGCTTGAAAGAGCACATGTTTTCTTTTACTTTTGGCAAAAATATATTTTGACAGATCTTGGAAGCACCTTGATAGCCTTGAGTCTAATTGTCATCTGCCTGAGAAGGAAGTAGAGGAGAGAAACTTCATTTATAGAACTTATATTTACTAGGCTGCTAATTGCAAGGCACTCAAGGTGGACATTCACCCTTATTTTGTAGATGAGGAAATGAAATTTACCAATAAGCCACTTGTTCAAGCAGTGGAACTGAGCTTTGAATACAGATTCTATTCCTTCATAGTCTCAAGTCAACATTGTACTAGGCTGCCTCCCTGTGTTTTTCAAGGTTCCACTCAAGTCTTACCTCTCTGATTAGCTTATTTGAGATATACTAATCTTTGTCTTCCATGATATACACTAATCTTTGATATATACCAGTATTTGTATTTGTCTGTACTCTCGTCCCTTAGTATTTGATGCCTTATATTAACTAATTCCTGGTTATTTCGCTTGTCAGATAAAAAAAACCCGAACATCTTAGTTCTCCCATTGAAGATTATTCTTGATGCATAGTCATTAGCTTCTCTTTCATATGTTGCTTATTGCATCCTACTTATTTTCAGCACTGATTAAGTCAGTGGTGGGGAAAGTCTGGCCCTCAGGCCACATAAGGCTGTGAAATCATTTGGTCTGGCTCTGCCAAGGCATTAGAGGTGAATTAATTAAATGTTTGACCAAATAAAGCAGGCTAATTTTTAAGTTGATAATTTTGTACGGCCCGAGACTGATGATATAAATATCCAACTGGCCCATGGCAGAAAAAAGGTTCCCCACCCCTGGTTTAAGTAATGGTTCTTACTGCTTTTTTTTTCTCTTTGTTCTGTCCTTTTTGTTACACCCATTTTGTTTGAGATATACACTTAAACATTTTTTTTACTGGTAGCTTGAGGATATTGGCTTAATGGAAGGAAGGTAGAATGATGCGAAGCACATGGTATTTGAATTCCAAACACCTTGACCTGAGTATTAGCAAGTCACTTATTTTCTGAGCCTCTGTTTTTCTACTTTCAAATGAGGTAATACCTAGAAATACTTTGAAAACTCGAAAGCCCAATATAGATTTTCTTCAGTAGTTCTGCTATTTCTGTTCATATTGGTAGATTTCTTGTTACTGTGGGATGGTATTGAATATAAATACAGATACATTTTAAGATGTATTTAATAGCATGTAATAGTTTTGTGTCATCAGATCATGTTCTTGTTTTCAGTTTTTTAAGGCTGAATTAGACTATATTGCAAGCCCAGCAATGGACTCTGATTGAAAGACATTTAAATAAAATAGTCTCTTTTCTCAAGAGCAAGCTAAGAAATGTTCATAATAAACGATAAAAAAATTAAAGAGAATGTAGAATGAAGAGCTAGGATATGTAGTTATGTGTATACAATTTTTGATGGGTGGTATTTTGTCATTTTGTGTCAGGGTTGAGAACAGTAATCTTTTTATTTGTCAAACATCTCTCAATAATTGCCATGGTCAGGCAGGTACTGAGGAATGTCTGGGGATGCTGGGAGTTAACACATTGCGGACCAGTAGTTTTATTGCTAGCTTTACCCAGTGGCCAGATAAGTTTCTCTTGAATGAGTACAAAAAACATTTTACATAAATGTTAAAGGCATGCTTTAAAATTAAAAACCCATTGCATTTTGAAGTTATTTATTACATGTGCTTACAAGCTAATATCTTTTTAAAGTATGATTGGCCACAAGCCTTAGAACAGAAAACACGAGAATTCTCGTGATCTGTCCGTAATGTGTTAAGAGATGTTATATTAAGAGAAAGGAATACCAGTACAGTGTAATTATCCTGTTTAGAGGAATGCCTGTGATGAAGTTGGGACAAAAGAGAGATTCATCTGGAGGGTCAAGGAAGCTTTTCTTACCAAATTCTTGAGCTGAAGTTTGGAACATGATCAGAAAAGTGTGTTGGACTAGTGGAGAACAGGAGCAAGGCAATTGGGTGAAGGAGTCAGTGTGTGCAGGGCATGGGAACATCATGTTTCTGGTTTCAGAATTGTAAGAAACAGCCCTTAAGAGGCTAGAATTGGAGGAGATTAAGTTGAAGGAAGAGGATACATTACCCATGAAATCATTGGTTCCTATCTATTCAGAGTGTACTGTTTGTATGTAGCCTTTACTTGTAGAAAGTAAAGTCTGTCTATAGGTTGGTTTGTACTGTAGTCCACTGTAGACATCCAGAGCAAATATTTTTCTTCCTGAGCTGAGTCAAAGGAGAGCTTTCAATCAGTGCACCTCTAGCCCTAGGGACAGCTCAAGCATTGAAATAGAACTGAGATAGTGGTTGAGAATAACTTTGAAGATGAACAGGATAATGTCCCTGAAGTGGAATGTGACATCCCATTATGGATGTATAGTTACATACTTTAGAATTGTCTATTGGCAGTGTATCCTCAGAGTAGCTAAATGTGGGTAATTTCCCTGTGTGTTGGCTTAAAGATCATTTGTGGGTGGACTTGGGGAAAATGAAGATATTTCTAAAAAATTGCTTCATTGTAGTTATGAGATATTGTATTGAAGGAAGGGCCTGTGAACTTCGTGCAAGTGGTATCTCCAGCAGCACCCAAAGCACATTTTGCCAACTTTCTGTTTGTTTTTTTCTTTGGTTTGATTTTCTTGCTGCTGTTGTCACTTTCACCTTTTCTCTCTGAAAAATTCATCCCCCCCCCCCCCCCCCCCTGTGCCGGAGGTAGAGCAGTGGCACTCAGGATTAAAATGATGTAACTCTGCTTTGCTTTGCTTTGCTTTATATTCAGAGATATTTTTTTAATTCCTTTAAGTTCCAAAGTTACGTTTATTTATTTATTTTTGCCCTATACTGAAGGAGAATCAAAGTCATCCTTCCTAGAAGGGATTTTATACATATAGATATTGGCAGTTTACCCAAAAGACAATACAGGAAAAACCTTATTTAACAGGCTCAATGGTACTAGCCTTCTTAACTTACTAAATTACAGAATGGGGTATAGTTGTATGTATGTTTTAAAATTTGTTCATATAAAGTAGATGAAAAAAAATGAAGTAGATGTTCTGTGTACTTTGTATTTGTAAACAATAACCATTTGGAGAAGGAAGGAGATTGCTTTGTACAAAAGGCTTGTTTCCTGGGTCCAAAGCTTTGCTGCTGGAGATGGTAAATAAATATTGTACTGCTTTGCTGTGTTTATTTCTTCTGCTTTATCTGTATTTGAATATAAAATTCTTGAGGAAAATTGTTGCTTTTCAAAATGTTTTTTGGGATGTGACTTGAGCTATGAGTTGGGCAGAAGAAACTTCTGGTAAACAGCACTTCTAGGGGTGCAAACTTCAGACCGAACTATGGACCAAAGCTTTAGGATGGGCAGTTTGACTTTGTATGAAGTAATGCAGTTTCAGGAATTCATTTCAAGTGCACTAGTCAGACATATAATATAATTTGCAAAGTTAATTTATGCTATTTTTGCAGTTGGTTGCTCCTTTGAGCTTTTTTAAAATTGGGATCCCTTACATAGAAGATAAAGATACAGGTGATCCTCCAATTGCTACTCCTCTGACTAATCAGTGCCAGCTGACACTCAGATAGCCTATATAATAAAAGGCTAATATGCAAATCCACCAAACTGTGGAAGGACTGGTCCCTATGATGTGCACTGACCACCAGGGGGCAGATGCTCAATGCAGGAGCTGCCCCCTGGTGGTCAGTGTGCTCCCACAGGGGAGCGCTGCTCAGCCAAAAGCCAGGCTCACAGCTGGAGACTGTAGCAGTGGTGGCGGAAGTCTCTCCCACCTCCGTGGCAGCACTAAGGATGTCTGATGGCTTAGGCCCATTACCCACTAAGCCATCTGTCAGTCGGACATCTCCCGAGGGCTCCCGTTCTGTGAGAGGGTGCAGACCGGGCCGAGGGAACCCCCAGAGTGCACATTTTTATGCACTGGGCCTCTAGTAACAATGTAAATAAACCTCTGCCTTGTATTGTTTTATCTCTATTCCCTCTCCCTTTCTTCACCACCCTCCTACTTCCTACAACTTTCATCTTTTTTTATTCCTGGCTTTTTTTAGTAGCCAAAAAGTGCTTCGGTGAGTCAGGGAACTGGGTTGTTGCATCACTTCTCTGGATAATAACTATTTTTACAGAGTGTTTTCTCATAGGGTATATCACCTGGTGTGGGACATAGAGCAGAATTATTCTATTTCACAGTGGTCCAGTAACTATATTCACATTTTTCATTAAAAAATGCTTAATTTTTATCATTTTTGTTAGTTACTCAAGAACTAAAGTATTTTTTAGAGATTAGTAATAATGATTTTAAAATATAAATCATTTGTCTATCATTAAAGAGCCACAAAATGATCTGTGCCCTACTCAGTTTGGCTCAGTAGGTAGAGCATCGGCCTGTCGACTGAAGGGTCCCGGGTTTGATTAGGGTCAAGGGCACATGCCTGGGTTACGGGCTCAATCCCAGCAGGGGGTGTGCAGGAGGAAGCTCATCACTGATTCTCTCTCATCTTGATGTTTGTATCTCTCCCTTTCCCTTCCTCTCTAAAATCAATAAAAATATATTTTAAAAAATGATCCACTGCCACAAGCTGTTATAAAATGATAATTTCTCCTGTGCAAGACCCACTTTTCATTACTGAGTTTCTAGAGATTGCTTTACAAAAGAAGAAGTGCTACTTATATCCTCTATTTTCTTTGATTTGATCTTGGCAAATATTTTTAGAAAACTGATTTAGCAAGTTATGGCAATAACAAGTGACTTAGAGGCTCCACTTTTGAGTGAGCTGATGAGTGGAAAGTAAAGTGAAAGATCTGCCTGTATTTAATTTGAGAAAATTTGGATGCAGAAATTCTTACCAATATATTACCAAACTAAATTCTACAGTAGATATGTCCAAGTACAACATAATCAAGTGGGATTTATTCTGGGGATGTAAGGATGGGTCAACATTTGCAAATCAATCCACATGAACACCACATTGACAAAAATGAAGGATAAAAATTAGATAGATACAGAAAAAGCTTTTGACAAAATTCATACGTTTATGGTAAAAACCCTAAATGAAGTGGGTATAGAGTGAATGTACCTCGGCATAATTAAGGCCATATGTGACAACCCCCCAGGTAACATAATTAACAGTGAAAATTTGAAAGCTTTTCCTCTGAGATTAGGAACAAGACAAGGACGCCACTCCGCCACTTTTATTCACTAGAGGCCTGATGCACAAAATTCGTGTAAAGAGCTCAGCCCTCGCAGCCTCGCCTGGCCCTTGCAGCCCCTCGCATTCCCGGCTTCGTCTGGAAGGTCGTCTGGATGGTCGTCCTGCTGTTCAATCCAAGTAACATAGTAGCTATTATATTATAGGAATTAGACCAGCAAAGAAAAGGCACCCAACTGGAGAGATCAGAAAGGAAGAAGTAAAACTTAAAATTTGCTGATGATGTACTGTATAGATGGTTCCTGATTTATAATGGTTTGACTTTAGGATGGTGTGAAAGTGATACACATTCAGTAAAAACTGGCTGGGCTAAGCTATGTTTGGTAGCTTAAGTGTATTAAATGCATTTTTTACTTACAATCTTATCAACTTAAGATGAGTTTATTGGGACATAACCCCATTATAAGTCAGGGAACATCTATATGTTGAAAACCCTAAAGACTCCAGCAAAAAAACAGGACTAATAAATGAATTCATTTAAGTTGCAGGATAAAAAGTTAGTATACAGAAGTTTTATACACTAGTAACGAACTATCAGAAGAAGAAATTAAGAAAATTCCATTTATAATTGCATCAAAAAGAATAAAATACCTAGGTATATATTTAACTAGGGAGATGAAAGACCTCTACACTGAAAAGTATAAGACATCGGTGAAAGAAATTAAAGAATGCACAAATAAATGAACAAATAATTTTGTGCACATGTATGAGAAGAATTACTATTATTAAAATGTCCATAGTATCCAGTGCAAACACTTATTCAATGCAATTCTTATCAAAATTCAAACAGCATTTTTCACAGAGCTAGAATAAGTCCAAAATTTATATGGAACCATAAAATACCTTGAATAGCCAAAGTAATCTTGAAAAAGAACAGAGAGAGCACACTTTTTGATTTCAAACTATATTACAAAGCTATAATCAAAACAGTATGGTTTTGTCATAAAAACTGATACATAGATTAATGGAACCAAAGAGCCCAGAAATAAACCCACGTATATATGGTCAATTAATTTATGACAAAAAATCTCTTCAATAAGTGGTAGGAGGAAAACTGGACAGCAACATGCAAAAGAAATTAAACTAGATCACTATCTTACACCATGCACAAAAATTAACTCAAAATGTTTGATTACAGACTTGAATGTAAGACCTGAAACCATAAAACTCCTAGAAAGAAACAGGCCCCTTGACATCAGTCTTGTCATTTACTTTCTGATCTGACTCCAAAAGAAAAATAAGTGGGATTATATCAAACTAAAAATTTGCACAGCAAAGGAAACCATCAAAATGAAAAGGCAGTCTACTGAATTGGAGAAGATATTTGCAAATTATATATTCAATAAGGAGTTAATATCAAAAATGTATAAATAAC